TTTAAAGATTTTATTTATTTATTTTTAGAGAGAGAAGGGAGGGAGATAGAGAAAGAGAGAGAAACATCAATGTGCGGTTGCTGGGGGTCATGGCCTGCAACCCAGGCATGTACCCTGACTGGGAATTGAACCTGCGACACTTTGGTTCACAGCCCGTGCCCAATCCACTGAGCTACGCCAGCCAGGGCCAGTACAGTGTTTTCTACACTAATACAAGACGATGAGATAGGAGTTATCGCTAGTCAAAAAGAGATTAAAGGACAGAAAGAAGAGTATTTGGGGGGGAGGGAATGGAATGTGCAAACTCATAGGGCAAAGTGGTCCTTACGTTGAGGACATAGAGAGCACCATAGCATCATGGAAAATGTAGGGGCAGTGTGTAAAGTAGTGGAACATTTTCTACCTGCAGGTAAATTCATTTCTTGCACAAGATGTAGAGCAGAAATGCTTTGTAGAGCTCACTTCTGTGTATGCTGTCGGTGGGAGCAAGAGCAGCTGTGTTTGAATGAGGGGGATAGCACAACTCCCTGTCTAACCGTCCAGCCCCCATCAAATATTCTTATTATAATATAATAACAATAATTAATAAGGATGATCGACAACCATTTATATTTGCAATAAAAGAGTAATTGTTGCTCATTTTCTTTTGGTAGTGCCACTATTGAATTAATCATAGCCTTGATGAATTACAGAAACACAATGTTATGCTATTGTAGGTGTCCTTGTTTTTTTTTTCTTTTCCTTGCAGCTGTTTAAGATTATTCTTATTATGAAGTGTTACAGCTTTGTAAGGGTAAAATTAAAGAATTGATAGAGGATGAGGACAAGGTAACTTTTCTGGCTATTTCCTTAAAAAATGAGCCTTTTCTTGTATATGTGTTTTAAGTATATACAATATAATGTATCATTGTTATTTTTGATAGAGGACCAATTGATTTTTTTAAAAGAAATCCCTAAGCAAGACAGGCAGAAAAAAAGTAATAGAATGTCTTCTCCCCAATTTTAGCAGATTGAAGCTAGAAACATAATGACAATTTAATGTGCTTCATCATGTCACGTAGAAATATAAAACCCATTAATGTGAAAAGAGAAGGAATCTTCCCCGTAAAGTTAGGGAATTAGAAAGCGTATGTTCCTTGTTCGTTGAAATCTTACCGGTCTGTTTGGTTGTTTGCTGTTTAGCATAGAAATTCAATGTGACAACTTTAAATAGTTTTAAAATTTGGTGTATCTAGTTCTAGAAGTGATTTGTTCAGTCCATTTGTTCCTACGATGCTGCTAAACTAACTCTACAGAACAAACTCCCTTCAGTGATTTCCCCTACTCTAAATGACCCCCAAATTCCTTATTACGATGATTGCGCCGAAACTCTGCAACATGGACATTGCCTTCCTCTGTGGGTGAAATGCCATATGGGTGAAAAACATATTAAGAACCCGTGCCATGCTTTGCTGATCCACATTGGTAACGGTCTCCACACAGTGGCAACTTTTTCATTGTGGATGATGAATTTGGCAAAGCAACTTGATCTTTTGTTCATCCACTGGGTATTACTCCAGAGCAGGCAGCATGATTGTGTTAATGAAAATTCCAAAAGCCACAGCTTCCCTCTCTACCGCGGCACACACACGTGACTCTGGCCATGGTGGCCAATTGTGAGATTCCTCGGCCGAGGCTAGCATATCCTTTGGTGACAATCGGGGGCGCTGTGCCATCCTGTTGTTACAAATGGACAGCGTTTTAACGGCGTGTGAGAACAAGATAGCTCTGCCCTGTAGTGTTTTCCTGCATTCAGAAGAACCGTATGGTAGCACAGCTCGTCATTACAGGGGCTTTGATGGAAAACAAATCCTGCCTTGTCCCTTGAAATATAATTACATGGCCATACTGTAATATGTCTCGTATACGAGGCAGCTGTTAGATTCTCCCTAACCGGTATTGTAAAGCTGTTCTCCTTTACTGGCTAAACACATTCATTCTGTGCCAGAGAACCTTAAAAACTGAAGTTGCTGATACAGAGTTTGCTTCTAGAACTTTCGTTGGGGCTTGCAGGGAGCTAATTCTGAGCTAGCTGAGAAAGAGAAGAATCATGGACCTAGAGATCAAAATGTGATGCTTATGCAGGTCGGGTGGCAGAGCATAGCGTCAGGTCTGGTGCCAGGTGGTTTCTCCCACAGTGCGCTCTTGAGTGAGACTCGCCACCCGGCGACAGACAGCACTGGAGTCCAGGGGCCTTCTCTGCCAGGCCAGCCTTGAGATCCAGAGAGACCACGTCTTCATGGGAAGGTGAGGAAGGCGCTGAGCCAGGTGGGCTCAGTTCCTCTTTCTGAATGTACCCATCGGGGAGTCCACGGTGACTCTGGGGAGGAGGGAGTAAGGGAGAGGACTGGCTGGTTTTGCCCCCAGAAAACCTTCAGCCAGGGCCAAGAGCCTTCTCCCTTGCTGCCGACACCCAGAAGGCCTCTAGGAAGACTTTCTGCACCTTTTATAAAGGATACCACTCTATTCAAATATGACCAAGGACAAGATGCATGAGTTGTCCATTTAGGCAAAGCAGTGTTTAACGCCCTGTCCTGTAGTTCTGAAAATGCTTAGAAAGCATATTCCTTTTCATGCCATGTGATCATGGGCTCCTTATTGCCCTCAGGATAATGCCTTTAGGCATGAAATCTAGTGTCCTCTGGCACCTGACCTGGGCAACCTCATCTACCTGTCTCTTCTGCTCTCCCCTGTACCCTGAGGTACAGCCTCACTGGACCATGCGCAGGGCCAGGATGGACCATGCTGTGGTTCTGGAGGCACTCTGCACAAATGAGATCGCTGCTACTACCATGCCCTATCTGCACATGAGCAGTCGGATGTTTGGTTCCATGAACTGTCCGAGGTCGCACAGTCCTTGCTGGGGTTGAGGACTAAACCGCTTAGTACCACTCTAGAGACTGAGCTCTTTTTCCCTGAGCTACAGTCTCTGCATTTAAATGAGCCCTGCCCTGCAGTAGAAGAGGCACTCGCTGAGTGTTTGTCTCCCCATCACTGAAATACAAGTTCATGTTAATTTTAGTGATTCATAAATAGTTGGCTAATTCATTCGCATTAGCCCCATTTCAAATTCGATATAAAAATAAACTGAATACTAGTTCACTTTAAATTTCCACTATTGGAGTTTTGGTAATTTTGGTAATCTTCCAGATTGTCTAAAATTTATAAACAACAATCATAGAAATATTCCACATTTTCTATGAATTAGATGCCAGCTATGAGAAAACTGGTATGAGCTTGAATATTCACAATATTCACAATATTTAAATAATACTTAATTTCCTTTCTCCTAACAGCTGACTTTTTCAGGCAACACAATTTTAGTGTATCACAAGTGCCCGCATTGTCTCTAAGAATTACACTCTGTATGTAATTTGAATAATAAAAGCATGAGGAAAATGAAAGCTGATAAAGCTAATTGAATGGAGTTAATCAATGCTATTGTATTTCTAAAATAAAGCTTATTTAATTTATTTTTATTATAAAATCCCATTTTTATTATGAAAAATTTGAAAAATCCTTAAAAGTACCCATGAAAAAATGATCTACAATCAAATTACCTAAAGATGGCTTCTACTGGTATTTTGGCATTGATCTATTAAATTTGCTTATTTATTTAGCTCTTGTTTCATCACTGATATTATTCCATAAATAAAATTTTGAATTCTACTTGATCATTTAGCAATTACCATGTATATTTTTCTTCTCACTATGAACAACTGACAAACAGAATTTCCCTGTCGTATATTTTCTTATACCCACATATTGATCGCTGTGCACCATTGGGCGCAAAACTTTACTCCTTTGCTTCAAATAAGATCTCTGGTCTCTAGTCTGAGACCTTGAAGTACTGGGTCAGTAACCATCACATTTTAAAGGCTTTTGATACAGACTGTCAACTTGTTTATTTAAAAAGCATATGTCTAATGGGAGGGAAGTGGGGAGGGTTGGGTGGGTGGGCTGGATTGGGAGTAAAAGGGAGAAAACTGTACTTGACCAATGATTAAAATAAAAAAAAGCATACATCAGTTTACTGTCATACTAGTTATTCGTCTCCTTTAGTCTCTAGGTTCTGTTTTCCAAGTCTAGAATGAAAGAGCAACAGCAACAAAACCACTGATTAGAAAAGTTTCCAAAGAGCATCTTACAGAGAAGCTGCCACTGAAGCCGTTTTCACACACGGGCCTTGGTTCATGCCTTCCCTCCCTTCTCGTCACATTGCCCCTGCTTTGGTTTCAGGGGTGGGGTAAGGGAGTGCTCGGCACGAACCTTCCTGTGCACGCCCTCCTGAGCAACACCAGCCCCAGCTGGCCTGCGCGAGGCCTTCCAGCACGGAAGGAAGGAGGGAGCGACGGGCACATATTGCCACTAATTTTACCTCCCACGTTTCTCTCTTTCTCTCATGATTATCTGCCCCATGCACGTCCATTTACAAACACTCGTGGTGCCGAGCAAGCGAGAGAAATCCTAAATAGCTGCAACACTCAAGCCAGAGAAAATCTCGCACGTGAAATCTGAGTGCATGGAGGAGTCTCCAGCTTGAGTGCCTCCAACTTGTGTTGGAGAAGGGGACTGAGAAAAAAAAAATTAAGTAAAAGCTCAGTTGAAAAATGAACACAAGCCTCCGTGATACACTTTGAAACGTCTTTCGTCACTGCTCATTTTTATCTGGGAAAACACGTTGGTAGTGTTTAGTCCCAAGTTTCCAAGCCTTGTGCTCCCCCTTCGCTGCGATGTTATCGGCTGGAAGGGAGAGCTGGCCGCGAAACTGTTATGTTAAGCACTTTTCCACAGGAACTTATTGCTTTAATAAGTTGGGAACATGCTCTTCAGGAAAAAAAAAAGTCCTTGAAGATTCATTAGAGGGGAAAGAAAAAAACCCCACTTGACTCTCCAGAGATTTCACACTTTCCTTACCATGGAAGGCAGTACACAACCCTGAGGTCTTAGCAAAGAGTCGGAGTCAATCAGCGGGAAGCAGAGGGTACGAATGTCGCGTTCCCAGGCCCAGCGCAGTGCGATGAGCGTACACAGACCCACGGCGTGTGCACCCAGCAGTCACTCCGGTGCCTCGGCAGACCGGGGATTCCAAGATAAACAATGCCTCACACAGGTAAGCACTCAACAAATATTTTTCAAAAGGGTGGATGAATGTTAGAAAACACATTAATGCTCTTTGATGACTGTATTCCTCCCAGCATAGATCAGATTCTCACCTCGGATGAGCGTACGGGAAGCAAATAAAAATTAATTCACAGCCAAGAGGATTTGCCTATCAGTATAATCTACTGCCTTGCAACCTCTTTAGAAGTTAATGTTTTACTCTGAGAGTCTCACCGTTTTTAACCAACCCCGACAGCAGTGTGTAAGCTACAGTGAACGTCTCGACGGCCTGCCTCGATAGAAAGATACAGATTTTTTTCTCAGGCAAGAGAGTTTTCCAAGTTAATCTTATTGGTTAAAACATATCTTAAATACACACACACACACACACACACACACACACACACACACAATACATGGGACTTAGAAAGATCAGTTTATGGTTAAAGGAAACACTGCTAGTGTGAGTCACCTGGGTGCCCAGAGACAGGGAAAACAGATGACTCACTTTTGCAGAACTGAACCTCTCTGGCGTTCCTGGTTCCCCGCCCTTCCCTCCACTGTCCCCTAACACCGTGCCCTCAGCGAAATCCGGGCGTTTGTCCTACTAAGGCCACGGGGTTTGGGTACCTTTGCGTGAGGCTGTTCTAAAGTTTCAGGTCTAAGGGGACAGAAAAGATGGAGACAAAAGAAGAAGGGCTGGACTCGATGCTCTCTGTGACCAAAACCCAGCAGCGCTCCTTGGTTCAAAGCCGTCACCCACTCACCCGATGGGCTCTCTGGGTGATTGGAAGTGGCTTAAGCAAGGACATGTGGGTTTCGAGCGCCACTCCAAGTGACTGAGAAGCAGGCCGTCCGCAGAGAAGCCGCGTCACTCGGTTGACAAATCAGCAGGAGCAGAGCAGGTGACAGGCTTCCCGGGGGCTCGGGGGACAGGGCGAGAGGGAACGTCAGCGAACGTGGGAACAATAAGAGCACGCAGTGTCCCCTCCATCCTTGCTATTATATAAATGTTACATTTGTTAGGCTAGCTCCCTCCCCGGCCACCCCCCAAGCAGTCATAGACAATAAAACACCAGAAATCCCTGAAGAGCGGTAAAATGCTGACATGATTTAAGAAGGAGGACTCTGATAAGAAGATAAAAATCTAATAAACAGAGTCTAGAGAACCTTGGTGTGTCTCAGGCGCTTGCCAGGGTAAGCAAAACCCTCCCAAGGAAAACAAAAGCAGCCTTAATGGTGAGGACATTCCACTCACAGACCATCCGAAGGAGAAAGTGAAGGCCGTGACCTCTGCAGGCTGCTGTTATGAGCGCTCTGACAAGAAAATATTTGATTTGGTTCAAGAAGCAAAATCAGTCACTGGATTTTTTAATATCTTTTTTTCTCCAATAAAATAAATAAATAAAAGAATGTATTTTGTATGTGAGAAAGCAAGAGAGAGCGAGAGAGAGGGGGAGAGAGAGAGAGAGAGACAGAGAGAGAGAGGTGGGCACGCAGTAAATATTTTCCCCACCTAGGTAGGTTTTCTGTTTAGCTTGGTCTTCATTTCTTCTCGGAGTTTAATCAACCCCAAGAAAAGGTGGATTCGCAGGCCCATTGATTTCCCATTTTTAATTAACACAAGGCTCCCGAAGGCTGATCTCAAGTTTCCCACGTGAATCTGCAAACTCGGAGAGACACACGTTCTCTGCAAGAACCGGGTCGGGGGGAGCGAGCCTGCACAGCGGGGGTTCACCGCCGAAGGTCCGGGAAGTGCTCGAAGTCTTTATCGGGGTCTTTGAAACCTAGAACGGAGCATTTCCCAGAAAAGTGCTTCCATGCTGCCCGAGCTCCCGGGCCAGCTCAAAACAACACCTCTCCAGAGGTTGAAACGCTGAGCAATGTGGTTGGAACACTGTAATAGGAAATACTTTTGTAGTTAGGCATGTGTTCGGTATTAAAAAAATAAACAGAATGTGAGGAGGAGTAGAAATGTTTTGTGGAGACTGGGAGGGACTCTTTAGCACCTAAGAGCTTCAGTGCTGGCCGACACTAGTTTTTACGATAATTAGCGTCAATTCAAGACTCATGGCTTTCTTCTTCACTGACACAGAGCAGAATTGTACCTACGCCAATCAAGCCTAATCAGTTAATATTTACAGTATACATATAATATGTACACTGTAAATATACATATTTATAATACATATAAATGTATATATTATATATGTATTTACTTTTTTCCTTCCCAAAGGGAAGGGAAAATGGGACAAAGGTATAAATGTGTATGATCTGGAAGAAAATAGAGAAGAAACGAGACTCCAAGGGCAGAAATGACAACAAAACAACGCAGGTAAAATGAACTGACTGTGAGGAGCGAAAAGAAGACAGAAGCACGGTCTGACTCCTTGGTCTTCTCAGCCCGGGGGCAGGCGGGCAGGAAGCGAGACCAGTGGAAGAAGGAGCCTGGAGAATGAATGTGAGCACGTGGGGCTCAGGAGCTCTTCAAAGCCACCTGGTGGTGGAGGGTCCACAAAGACGCAGGTGAGAGGGGGCACTGGCAACAAGAGGGGCCGGTAAGCAGACAGCCTTGGGTTGTGGGGCTGTTGCCTTTGCTTAGAGCCCTGCGTGGTGGGGGACACTCCCTCGTGGGTGTATTTAAGTGTGGAATTTAGAGCTCTGTGGGATCCTATCAAGAGAACCCTGGGGGCCGGGAACCTCATACAGTGATCTTCCTGCATGGCTAGAGCATTGTTCTTTGAACAAAGTGCTTTTCATAAGAACAAACACACTGAAAGCTGATCATTTGTTTTCATCGCCGCACATATTTCAAAGTGAAGATCCAACAACTACAGGATTAGTTTGAGAGCATCAGTTAAGAAACTGTTTCCTTTGGGCTTGTGGAATATGCACTTTACCCACAATCGATCTGTTAACCAGAAAGCCTTCCCTTTATTCGGCAATGCACAGACACACCTGCGGGAGCTCCGTCTTTAACACCATGCCCTCTCTGAGCATGAAAACAGGAGGGCAGAATTGCCCACGATACCCTTGTCACCAAAGTCCACAATTAGAATACAGAACATTAAAGTATGTAAAATCAAACAACTCTGAACCTTGACCTCAGAGATATGTTAATGCTCTTGTTGTGTTTTTCTTTTCTTCCAGATTTACACATTGTATGCATGGATTTGCCCGAGCTAATGTTATCCTCTTGGTAATAACAGTTAGGTTAAAGAACTCTGTAACTTTGGGGCCACATGTTGTATTTAGAAAGTGGACTAAAAGCATGGCCCTAGGAGTCTGGCAGCCTGGGTACCAAGACTTGAACTTGGCACCATCATGTTCCAGCTATACGACCTTGAACTAATGACTTAACTGCTGTGAGAGTCAATTTCTCCACTTATAAAATGGGGTACAAATCACACTTCTCTCCAAGCATGGCCATGTGGATTCAATGAGTCCATTTAGGAAAAGTATTAAAAACATGCCTAGCACATAGTCACAATAAGCTATTATTGTTTTATAAAATTATATAAGTAATATGTGCCTGAGACTTGGGATGGTAGTGTATGCATGTTTTTATTTATTTTTTCTTTTCATATTAAACATTATACATGATAAACCAATAGATAGGTAGATAATGTGCTCTCATATGAATGCAAGGAAGTTTACTTAATTGAGTCTTCTGGATGTTTGAATATTTTACTAATGTATATCACGATAAACAATGCTACTCTGAACATCTTCTATACAATCTCATTCCTGTTTTTCCTATATGCTTTGAGTGATTGAAAATAAATGGTGTACAGCTACATGGGGAATGCCAAAATAAAATGCTCACTAACTAGTTTCAAATTTGAAAGCTGGGACACAGCAGAAGCTGAGCCCCTTGGGGTCTCCATTCAAATTTAGGAGGAGTGAGGTAGCTGTCCCTTCTAAAACCAAACCTCTGGATTTCTTGAAATTTATTAAGAAAATGATTTAAAAACCTAGGGACACACAAACATATATAAATGTAATTAAAGACTAATAGGAATGGTTTGACTAGATAACAAATATGAGAAAGTAGGCATATCGATTGAATACACAGTATTAGGCTCATTTGTAAGCTCTATAGATACCACCTAGAAGCACTGTGAATTAAAATGCATAGCGTCTACCCCTACAACAACCTACTCTGACTCATGGTGCCTGAGGACATTTCCCACTATGTTGTAGAAGGACTTCTGGGACAAGGAGGGTTCTACCCTGTTCAGAACCATCAAACACCATGGGTCAGGAAAAGTCTGCTCTCTCAATTCTAGTTTAGGAATATTCATATTTAATCTCAATTTGGATTTTCAAACCCTTTTATTTAAGACGTCTTCCTAATTCCCAGGCTGCAACTTGATCTCTCAAATGGTATAGATTTCACTGTAGTTTAGGGAGGCTGAACACTAAGCATTTCAGACCAATATGAGTGAGTTCTAATTTCAAAAAATTTTCCAAAACTATTTCAGTGAAATTCACAATGCAAGGTACACATCATGTATCATAGAATTGTGCACTTAAACCCTGTGCAATCCTATTAACAAATGTCACTCCAATAAGTTTAATTTTAAAAATCTATAAAACATTCAGGTGTGCTTCCTTAGCAGTCATTTTAGCACAAGAGTCACTTCCTGCTGAGTGTATTTAGTCTTCTATTATAAATGCAATTCTGATTTTTGCAAATGCCGGTAGTATGGATTTTGTCATACATATTATTTGTCACAATAATAAAATTTAAAAAAGTATATTTTATAAAGAGATAGGTTAAGAATAAAAATTTCAAATGTCTAGAAACACACGAAATGCAATGATAGATTCTTGCTGGATTATCCCATTTCTGCAGTTCAGAAAAATGTATTTTATAACCAGGGAAACACTCATTATTGCTTAACAATCTTTGGATACCAAGAAATGCCCTGGGAAAGGAAATTCACCGAATGGGTGTGAAAAAATGCACACTCTTCAAACACTGTTTGACCAAGGATTCACTTTTCTAGAGCAAGGGGAGACCAGATGAGATGCTTCTCTGTTTTATTACAAATGCGATGCTTGCTCACTGTGACATGTCAAAAATTAACAAAGAAACCCACCATGGTCCCCTTATTACGACTTCTAACTCTTCGTTGTTGTTTTAGGGTGGCAAAAGTTAAACACTGGCCATTCCCTTTTTCACAGTGTGACAATCATAGCATATTTACATAAAACAAATATGATTATAAATTTATATAGTGGTATATAAACTTTTAAACATAAAATAGAATCGTATATTACTTTATGATTATTTTTAAAATTATCAATATATTAAAAATATCTTTCCTTTTCTACAGTTATCTACAGTAATTTTTATCAGTATTTTTATTTATAAAAAATGGAGACTCTGTTTTTCCATCTTGCTATGATAATTGGTGGAGAAGTAAAAATTATAATGAAATAATTTGGAAGGTTCTTTGGAGGAAGTTTGATTTCCAGGGGACACTAAGTAATTGTCTGTTTTGGATGAATGATATTTTCTAAATTGTTCTACATAGGTAAGCAGAAGTGGCCCACCCATTTGCAATCTGTTGGTGCTGCCTGATCTCACAACTGTCTCTTTTGCTCTGGCAAAAACCAGACTTAAAAGATTGCCTTGCCATGAAGAATGTCTAGAAGCAACTACATAAGATGGCGCAGGACAAATTCTTGCAAAATCATTCTGTACGGCATTTGGAGAATCTGCGAGAAAGATGGGCTGCTCAGTTACGTGGCCGCTTCCACCCTGAGCAGCCCGCATGCAGATCTCCGGCTGCTTCCTGTCCAGATGACAGGTGGCCCGCGGTGTGGGAGAAATGACGCGAAGGTAATGGTCCCCATTCAAGGGAAGCAGAGGCCTTCATCCCTTTCACTGGATCTCCTTGTTCCTTCCCCTCACTGAGTGTCCCCAGGAGCCAGCCTTCTCTAACTGCACTGTGATGCCGCAGTCCCACCATCCGCGCGGAGAATGAGTGTTCTGTCCCAGGACACTTGGGACACCATCATAACTTGCTGCCATTTCCCCCCTCAAAAGTGGGAGTGTCTTTTTGTCAGCTGATGAACAATTAACCAGAATTGCCCTCCTTTTCTTGTCTTCCCAAAGAGTTCCAAGGTACTACTCTGGGAAAATTTGAGACATCCATTTGGTATTGTTTTCTTTTTCTGATAACCAGGGAGAAGATGTATGCACCTTGATGTAGAAATTTGGAAAGAAACAAAACTTTGCCCAAAGAAAAATAGGGAAGGGGAAAGCAGGAAATGACATGATTTAAAAATGAAAAAGACAGAATATACTTGCATCGAGGTAAGTAATCAGATCGACCCACAGCGCATCTGATACCAAAGATATTCACCCAAATTCTCACGTTCTGTGTAACGACTTTACGTCAGAAGCGCCGGGAAAAGAAGTCTGCATTAACACCCTCCTTCTCCTCCACCTGGCACTCCCAGGATCCCTCCCACCAATGCATCCCTTTGCCCCCTCTCCCCTCCCCCCACCCTCTAAGTGTGCATTCTCAGCTCAGGAAGAAGTCGGACCCAGTCACTGTGCACAAATCATCTCCTGCCTGAAGTTTTTGGTGGCAGCCAAGAGAGGAGAAGGGAAAAAAAATTAGAAAAATTTCAATTTCAGAACCATTATTATTTTCATTAATCATAAGAGGCGCTGTCACCCCGTCCTTACTCTTTGGAAGGAGATCTATTATACGGTCCATTTAGTCCAAGCCATATTACCTCATATGTTTTCCTGGCTGACCAAATAAGACTTAAGAGATAAAACAATTTACTGTTCATTATGATCCGTGTCACTGGAATCAATCTATTAACCTACATGAACTGGATATGTGACGATATCTCACATACACGCTTCCCCAGTTTAAAGGGAAGGCGAGAAGATGGGGAGGGGGCAGAGAGAGCGAGGGAAAAGGAGAGGGAAGGAAACCAGGGCCCATAAAGTCAGCAGACGTATAATTTGCCGAGCGAATACAACTTCATTTTCCAGTGCCCATTGCTGCGCCTTCCACATCCTCACGCAGCCCCTGACCTGTAAAGAAGTCTAACAAATTGGCTTCTATTGTGGAGCCAAAAGGTGCCATCAAAGAAGGGACGGTTCGCTGGTCCTAAAGTATGATGGGAAATCTCGGGCTGGAATAAAGAGCCGGCATTTTATGAAGTTAACCCGTTAAGGTCAAAAGCAAGCAGGAAGCGATGGCCAGTGGGCCAGCGGGGCCACGAGGAGGGAAGCCCTCCAGCCTTCCGGTTCAAACACGGGGCAGGCAGCCCCAGGTGCCGTGAGAGCCACACAAAGTTGAACTAAGAATCAGCCTTGCCTTCCAACGTTAAGCAATAGAAATCCCCTTGCTGTGTCTCTGGATAGCCCCTCTGTTTCATTCATTCTCTCTCTCTCTCTCTCTCTCTCTCTCTCTCTCCATCTCCAGAAGGACCATAAGCATCTCAAGAAAAGGAAATGACTCCATGGCCGGCCCACCCCTGCACGGAGATGTAACGTAGGAGCAGATGGTAGAGAAGCGGCAGAGTCCCAGGACGTGGCCCCAGCATCCCACTGAACCTGTGTCTGCACCTGAGTGTTAGCAGTTCATCCAGGCGCTGGTTTGTGTGGCGTGTCAACTTCCCTCTGGAACTCCACGGCTCAGTCTGTGGCGACCCAGCCCAGAGTCAGACCTTGTCTTGAACGTCATGAAGTGTCACTTCATCCCCATGCTATTGGTCAAAGCAAGTCACGGGGCCCCTCAGATGAAAGGGCAGGGGAATGTACAAGGCACGGGTGACAGAAGGAGTGGCTCATGGGGGGACCATCTTTCCAGATCGACTGCTGCAGTGATGAAGGGATGGCCTCACCGACAAAGTGACATTTGAGCACAGCTCTAAGGGACATGAGCGAGCACGCCATGTGACATCTGAGCATGGGGAACAGAAAGCAAAAATCCCTGGGGCAGGACTACCCCTGATGTGCTGAGAAAACAGAGGCCAGGGTAGCTGGGCTAGAGCAAGGTGAGTGGAGAGCGTTAGGAATTAACTCAGGAAGAGGGCCATGATGGACAGCCTGAGAGGCCCCTGTGAGGACGGCGGATTTTGGTTTGAGTTGCACGAGAAGCCAACGGATGATGTTAAACAGAAGAATGATATGATCTGGCTCATAGCTAAGAAACTATTCATTCACAAGAGCTTCTAACGGAGGACCCAAACAGCCACTCTACTAAAAGCATCATGGGTAACCAAAGGGCCTAGGTCTCAATGTTAGGCTTCTATCTTCCATAAATAGCTTAATTTCTCTTGGCTTTAGATTCTCCATCTGGAAACTGAGGGGTGGCCAGAGAAACAATTTCAGAGAGAGCTCACTAGCCCATCCCAAGGGTTGGGGAGATGGTCCGGCTGACCCCTCTGGTTTCGACCCAAGAAGCATTGTGTTGCTCTGCTTCATACGCTGGACTCGCTTCCACGTAAGGTTTTGTTTGAAGAGAGATTTTTGCTACTAAAATGCCTTTAAAAAGCCACCGGCCTAGATGAACTCTAAATTCCTTGCAGCTTGAAAGTCCATGCGTCTGTCACTATTGACCAGAGGATAAAATGTGTATAAAAGTGGGGAGGGGACTTGCCTCATTCACAAGTGGAAGCAACGGTTGAAGTTTTTCCTGGGAGCCCCCGGCGGCCTCGCGGCTGGAAACCCTCCCTCCGTGAATTCCTGTTCACTTCTCCTTGTGAAGAGGGAAGAACTGGGGGGAAGGTTGGCGTCTGGAGGTGAAAGATAACATGCCAGCGTAACCGAGACCGAACCTTAATTTTTGGAAGTGGGGAGAACTGCGCCCTGGGGGCTTCTGAGCAGTCTCTGTCTTCTAGGTGGAGGCTGGAGTTCGCCTTTCAGACAGACCCTCTGTGTACAACGGGAGGGCCCGCTTTGGGGAGACCTTCCAATTAACCTTTGTGGCTCCTCAGGGGAGCCTCGGGGCTTCAAAACTGGCGAATAACAGAAGTCCAAGGGTTTGGTGAAGCTGTGTCCCAGCAGAAGCCCGCGTGGTTCACCACCTCTAGTAACCGCTGTGGCTTCTAGGGTGTGGTACTTCCTACACCCTCGGGGTTTTTGGAAAGTGCTTCTAAGAGTCTGATCCAGTCTCCAAAGGTGCTGTGGGAAATGGGAAAAAGTAGTGTGCTCGCCTTCCTGGAGGTCACAGAGGGGACTGACTGTGCCCGAGGAACTCTGATCTCAGAAGGGTCATCAGTACGGCGCAGCTCTGAGAGAGGAAGAGTTGCCATGGTCACGGCCGCACCCACCCGAGGCCCTGGCGGGTCCCAGAGAGCACACACGGACTGCCTGCCAGCCCGAAGCAGGGAGAGTGGCGGCAGGAGGAGGAGAGCCCAGTGGACTTGTCCCATGGGAGCCTACGGGAGCTGGGGACAAGTGGAGGGGAGTTAATGTCCAAAATTTTTGCAGATGGACCTGGGCAATAAAACAGGGGGCAAAGAAAGGAGGGCGCTCTTATTGGGTAGTTGCTGGCTGAAGGGACCCATGCACCATGCATAACAGGAAGCCAAACGAAGATTCCATCTTGGATGCAAAGCCACAAAACATGCAGGCGACAGAACTCCAGCGGGACGATGTAACTGCTCTGAGATTCTGGCACGACGTAGCTCGCTCCAGTTTTGCAGAGAGGGAAGACATTCTGGAGGCGATATCATACCGGCCCCTCTCCCTCAGGTGCTGACATCTTCTTGGTGTTCCTTCAATGCTTGTCTTGCACTGGAGTCAGCCCATTCCCTCAGACGAAGTCTTTATCGATGGGAGAACAACTTTTCCTCTGCCACTCTTCTCTCCGGTTTTCTTCCTTGTTCCCCACCACACTAAAATCCTTTACAGAATCCTACATAGTAATTAAAGAATACTTTGACCATCGTTAAGGAAAAAAGAGATCACTCGGTGTCTTAGCCCAATACTTGGAATAGAGTAATCACTAAATATATGAGAATTGTTATTTTTGCCATTATTCTTGGTGCTGTTGTTATTATATCAACATGTTTTCCTCTAGTCCGGCAGCTCAGTACTGTCCAGGAGAACTTCCAGCAATGGTGGAAATTTTCTGTTATCTGTGTTGTCTCTCACGTGACCACTGGCAACCAGAGGCAACCAAATACTTCAATTGTGGCTAGTTCAAATGGGAAATTAAATTTTTAACTTGATTAAATTTCCCTGACTTTACAGGAGAACAACCACAGGATAGTTGAAGTCTGGGCCCAATTTTCTGGGGTGAGAGTTGGCACATCCTCATTCCTTAAACCTGCAGTCTAGAACTCGCACCAGGAGCTCTGGTGCAAGCTGGGGGACTCTCCAGGCCTCAATCCTAGAGTTTCTGATTTCACAGGCCTAGGGGACGGCCTGAGATTTTGCAGTTTAACAAGCAATGCTGATGTGGGTGGCCGGGGGAACAGACTTTGAGAACCGCTGCTCCGGAGCGCCCCACCCCCATGCTTCTCAGTTCTGGGTGCACACGGGAACCGCAAAGGAACTGATGCCCAGACCGTGCCCCCGAAAAACTAAATCAGAACGTTTAAAGCTCCAAGCCATGCCTTTATGTATCCAAGGATTCAGTAACATTTTAAAATCAGGGGCATGTGATACTCGGTCAGTGTTTCTCCAACGGGAATGTGCTTATGAATCGGCAGCAGGGCTCGAGACAAAGCAGATGCTAGCAGACCGGGTCTGGATGAGACCGAGGAGTCAGCGTGTTTAACGAGCTCCCAGCTCACGTTGCTGCTGCTGGTCCGGAGGCCCATACGTGGAGTAGTGAGGGAACAGAGGATCCCTGCGGCCAGTTCCAACCTTTACAATCGGCCAGCCCAGAACTAGGCAGGCTATCTGGACCCTTGCATGCCCGCCCCTGGTGCCCCTGGAGTGCAGAGCTGCTGGAGGGAGAGGGGGGATGCAGCCAAGAGTGTGATGACAAGGCCAGCGCGTCCCGGGAAGGACGCAGGAGAGCGGCTCGCGCAAGGCAGCTGGGTCCTGGCTGGGAGGCAGGCTGCCAGCTGTGAACTAGGCAGGCGCGCTTCTACCCCCGGGCAGGGCGGGAGGGAGCAGGCAGAACCAGACTACTGATATCAAAGTCTGTAAGACGGCCGCACGGGTTTCAGCCACGGGAGAAGGGAGCTGGAGACCAGTCCGCCCTGTGGGTAACCGGGGCTGGCCCAGCCTCAGAAGTGTCACGTTGTCCTGGGCTGAGATCCTTGAGATCAAGAAGGAGAGCCAAACCCCGGAGGCTAGAGTCCATGCCTGGATAATAACCAAGGGGCAGTATAGTACTGGTAATGTCAAATAAAAAGAATGCTTAATGTTTCTTTTTTGAGTTTCAGGGCAAAGGGGAGCTACGATGGAAGCTCCAGAGAGTGAGGGGAAGGAAGACAGAATGTGCTGGTCCCTCAGAGGAGTCCCAGCAGAGACCTGACAGCATGCAAAACCTTTCCATCAATCTCGGGGGGCTTTTCAGGGGAGGAATGAACATAAGAATAATCGGGAGTTAAAAATTCTTTCGAAACTATTCCACTGCAAAGCTGTATTTTCTTTTCCATGCGTTTGCCACACTGGTGCCCACCAATCACGTGTCAAACAGGAAGAAAAATGTTTCTTTCCATACAATTGCAGTCTATTACCATGAACGAGAATATATCTCATGATAACGATTGCCTGGTGGTCCATATAACATTTTTCCTTCTACCAAAGGATGAAGAAAAAGAGGAAGCAAACTATAAAACCATCCAAAGCAAAGTATCTCTTCTGAATTTCAAATAGACAACCAAAAAGTAGGACATGCCAGGAGCCATTATAAATGGGTGCTGAACAGGGATTCAGATAAACCAAGATTAACTTCTCTGAATGTGTTCACTTATAAAATCTTTTAGCTTCCTCCCTCCCTCCCTCCCTCTCTTTCTCTCTCTCTCTCACACACACACACACTCACTCACACACACACATAGAGTTAACCTGCATCACTGTTATAATAATCCAGGAAGACAAACAGAAGGGGAAGTACAGGAAGGCAAAGAGCATTTTTAAAAAGGTAGAGCTGGACTAGGTTTATAGCAACCTTTCCACTGAATTTAAAATTTCAGATGAGAACATTTCTCTCTTGTCTCCAGTAAAAATGACTCTATTTGTTCCTTTTTCAGGACCCCCCGAAGGGTCCTGTCCCAGGACTGAATGAATAATGATGCTTTAGTTTTCACTGTAACCTTTTGCAAGAATTTCACAGTGCTTTGGAAAACTGACCTCATAAATCTTCAAAACACCCTCGAGAGGCAGAAGGCAGCAGTCTCAGCCCCATTACGCAGGTGAGGAAACCGAGGTCTGCTGAGTGAGCTTTCGATACTGGAGCTCGATAGAAGCTAACTTTACCATTTCTAATGCCAGTCTTCCTCATTAATGTGTCACACATGGGCCAATGCCCACAGGCTTAAAGAACTCATTTGGAAAGTTCCAGAAAATGTCTTTACTTTTCTTTTTAAGTGCGTTACACTAACTACAACTAAATGATTTAAAGAGTGTGCCGACAGATACATGGATATCAGTGTGTACACATGCATGCTGGCTCCACACGTGTCATGAACATTTTGGGGGCCGGTGGAACCTACCCGAATCCATTTTCAATATGTTTTGAAAGACGAGAACCTACTGACACCCGTGGGCCTCAGGCCTGGGTGGAGCTCCTCCCCCGTCACCGTGCAGTACAGCGGTGTGCAGGTGTGAGCCTGTTCACAGCCCCTAGTGACGGGACTGAGACGGAAGTGACTGATCCGTGGCTCTCTGCCCTAGGATTTCTCACTGTTTCCTTTCGCTCCAGCCCCCGCCGCACTCAAACACCCACTGCAGAGAGTGCAGGACTCACGGGCAAGCCAGTGCTCCCACAAGGAATGTCACCCATTCCCTGACGTTAACCTCTCTTCTTGTGAAGGGTCGGCCTTTTCCGAGGGAGAGAACTTCACACACGGACGGGGGCTTCTCGTGGCCGGGCCCGAGGCACGGAAATTGTCTTGGACATTAATATAAATGATTAACTTATGACACTCCATGACGCAATCTGTTCAGGGTCTTCAGGCAACAGAATGAATGACACGCTTCTTGCTCCTGGTGGCTTACTTGTCAGGAGACAGGTAGCTTAGGGCACCTTAGGTTAGTGACACCACTGGCCATTAGGGAGAATCTGAAGGACACTGGAGAAATGGAGGTGGACCCAGCCGGTGGAGATTCTGCAGGTGCGTGAGCACTAAAGGCTGATCTTCTCTGTCACGCCCAGCACTAGACCAGTGTGAAGATACCAACCCAACAGCAAATACTACTTATCCCTTCAGGCATTCTTTTTTGTCTTTTGACCAGTTGGGTACTAAAGAATCAATATTAACTTGACCTTGACACAGTTCTTTAGGAGTAAAAGTCTCTGTCCTGTACAAGGAAGGAAGCTTGTCTGTCCCCTCCCCTTCAGGTCAGGGGGTTTCTGACCTCAGGGGAGCCCTTTAGCTTAGGAGCTGACTGCTTCATAAGGGGACCCAGCCCACTTCCACTGCGGGGAAATTATTTCTTATTCAAGAGCTCAAATCTCCTTCCCTATCATTTCTACTCATTTATCAGTTGAATTTCCTGGATCAATACAAGCCTCTTCTCTCTTTTAAGAATTTAAAAGCAGCAGTGATTCCACACCCCCCCCCCAACCCCAATCATGTTTCAAATATTTCAACTGCCACCCTTTTATTACTTTTTCTTGAGTCAATTCTATGGTATGTTAAGCATTAATATAAGGAAAATAAAGGGCAGCCCTTTTTAATTAAATATAGACTTAACTCATCAGCTTGGACTCACACACTATTCTCAGGAAGATCACAGAGCAATACCATGGCTGCTGGAACGGGCGCCTGAGCTCTGCAGCTCGGGGAGATGAAAGGGAGGGCTCCAGCAGGGCGGGGGCTGGCGGCGGCGCGGGCTTGGAAGCACGTGGGGTGACTGAGAAGGAATTTAAACATGACTGAAGAATAAAACAGTTCTTCTTCAAAAAAAGATAATCATGTCTTATAACGATTACCCTGGCAATGAAGCACAATTAGCATAGTCCTTTCTCATTTAAACACGTTGAAAGTGGCTGAGCGGACAGCAGAAAATGGCAAGGTTTACGGCGCAGGCTTTGGGTACAGCGGTGGCAATTGGATTAGTGTGGCTTATTTTGCTGCTGACAGCAACGATTATAAAGTTACATATACATGTTAACCATGCCTGCACCCCCCCGCCCCGCCCCGCCGAAGGAGGTCTCACTTTGCTGGCAAGTACAGAGTCATTCCACACTTCAGGTGGGTTTCATGTATCTTGTTTGTCCTTGTTTCCATTGTGATTAGTTATAACTTATCACTTAAAGGTTCAATCCCTCTCTAGTGTCTTCCTTCCTTCCTTCCTTCCTTCCTTCCTTCCTTCCTTCCTTCCTTCCTTCCTTCCTTCCTTCCTTCTTTCCCTCCCTCTTCCTTCATTTCCTTCCTTTCACCCCTGAATCCAAGGACAATGAGGAGGTCTTAGAGGTGGACTTTCTTACAGGAAGTTCTCAAATTTACCCACTTTCTCGTAGTAGGGATCTTATTCCAACCTCTCAGTTTCCAGTTCATTTCCACGCACAAGCTGGCCGAGCTGCATAGCCGTCTTTAGTTCCCTCTGTAGCCCGGTTCCCTTCACTGCTGTGTCTGTTACACTGGCCCGTTTAATTACTTGGCACTTTCTCGTGTTTCTTCATGTGTCAGTTACTGAATTATCTCCACCCCTAACCCTTTCATGTCGGGGAACTCATTGGGACCACTGTTTTGCACAGCACCCAGGTCCATCATCTGATCACAAAAGCAAAGCATACCTTCATTATTTGAGAAGAATGACCATTTCCAGTGTAGGTGAAGTCACCCGATCCGCTCACATTACCAAACACACATTGATGAAGAGTTAATAGTTAGGTGGGCTGT